GCAGCAGATGAAGAAATAGCTGATAGCATAATTCCACAGATATTAGAACAGAAACGGTATGAATCATAAATATAATCAAATGACGACACTAGCTTGAGGTCCGTGACGTAGGAAGTGCTAAAGGAAGTACTAAAGGTGAGCAGTCTGGAGTGTGGAAACTGTTTAATGACGATTAGATTTAGGTATCTGCATTCCTAAAATTCTATGGGAAGGGAGGAAAACAGGTCCACGACGTAGGAAGTGGTGAAGGAAGTACGAAAGGTGAGCAGTCTGGAGTGTGGGAACTGTTTTTGACCATTAGATTATAAGGCATTTGCAATCATAAAATGTTATGGAAAGTGAGGGAAACAGGTCCGTGGCGTTAAAAGTGGCGGAGGAAGTAGTAAAGGTGAGCGGTCGGAGTGTTGGAACTGTTTATGACCATTAGATTAAGGCATTTGCAATCCTATGATGCTATGGGAAGGGAGGGAAACAGGTCCGCTACGTAGGAAGTGGTAAAGGAAGTAGTAAATACGAGCAGTCCGGAGTGTGGGAACTGTTTATGACGATTAGATTTAGGTATCTGCATTCCTAAAATTCTATGGGAAGGGAGGAAAACGGTTCCACGACGTAGGAAGTGGTGAAGGAAGTACGAAAGGTGAGCAGTCTGGAGTGTGGGAACTGTTTATGACCATTAGATTAAGGCATTTGCAATCATAAAATGTTATGGAAAGTGAGGGAAACAGGTCCGTGGCGTTAAAAGTGGCGAAGGAAGTAGTAAAGGTGAGCGGTCGGGAGTGTTGGAACTATTTATGACCATTAGATTAAGGCATTTGCAATCCTATGATGCTATGGGAAGGGAGGGAAACAGGTCCGCTACGTAGGAAGTGGTAAAGGAAGTAGTAAATACGAGCAGTCCGGAGTGTGGGAACTGTTTATGACCATTAGATTAAGGTATCTGCAATCATAAAATGCTATGGGAAGGAAGGTAAACAGGTCTGTGACGTAGGAAGTGGTGAAGGAAGTTGTAAATGCGAGCAGTCCGGAGTGTGGGAACTGTTTATTACCATTAGATTAAGGCATTGCAATCCTATGATGCTATGGGAAGGGAGGGGAACAGGTCTGCTACGTAGGAAGTGGTGAAGGAAGTAGTAAAGGCGAGCAGTCCGGAGAGTGGGAACCGTTTATCACGATTAGATTTAGGTATCTGCATTCTAAAAATTATAAGGGAAGGGAGGTAAACAGGGTTGTGGCGTAAGAAGTAGCGAAGGAAGTAGTAAAGGCGAGCAGTCCGGAGTGTTGGAACTGTTTATGACGATTAGATTAAGGTATCTGCAATCATAAAATGCTATGGGAAGGGAGGTAAACAGGTCCGTGACGTAGGAAGTGGTGAAGGAAGTAGTAAATACGAGTAGTCTGGAGAGTGGGAACTGTTTATGACCATTAGATTAAGGTATCTGCAATCCTAAAATGCTATTGGAAGGGAGGAAAACGGGTCCGCGACGTAGGAAGTGATGAAGGAAGTAGTCAAGGCAAGCTGTCCGGAGTGTGGGAACTGGTTATGACGATTAGATTGAGGTATCTGCAATCATAAAATGTCATGGGAAGGGAGGAAAACAGGTCCACGATGTAGGAAGTGGTGAAGGAAGTAGTCAAGGCAAGCTGTCCGGAGTGTGGGAACTGTTTATGACCATTGGATCAAGGTATCTGCAATCCTAAAATGCTATGGGAAGGGAGGTAAACAGGTCTGTGACGTAGGAAGTGGTGAAGGAAGTAGTAAATGCGAGCAGTCCGGAGTGTGGGAACTGTTTATGACGATTCGATTAAGGGATCTGCAATCCTAAAATGCTATGGGAAGGGAGAGAAAAGGTCCGAGAAGTATGAAGTGGTGAAGGCAGTCGTCAAGGTGAGCTGTCCGGAGTGTGGGATCTGTTTATGACGATTAGATTAAGGTATCTACAATCTTAAAATTCTATGGGAAGAGAGGGAATTAGGTCCGCGACGTAAGAAGAGGTGAAGGAAGTAGTAAGGTGAGCAGTGTGGAGTGTGGGGAATGTTTGTGGCAATTAGATTAACGTATCTAAAATACTAAATTGCTATGGAAAGTGGTGAAAACAGGTCCACGATGTAGGAAATGGCTTAGAAAGTAGTAAAGTATGAGCATAGTGTGAAAACTGTCTGTGGTAGTTAGATTGATGTATCTTTAATCCAAAAACGCTATGAGAAGGGAAGGAAACAAGTCTCTGACGTAGGAAATGGTGAAGGAAGTAGTAAGGCTTGCAGTGCAGAGTGTGGGAACTATCTTTGGCAATTACATTAATGTATCTGCAATCCTAAAATGCTATGGGAAGAGAGGGAAACAGGTCCACGACGTTGAGGGTGGTGAAGGAAGTAGTAAAGGTGAGCGTGTTGAGTGTGGGAATGGATTAATGTATCTGCAATGCTAAAAGGCTATGGGTAGAGACTGTAGACTGTAGGTTAAAATAACTACGAAGCACGAATCGATACATATTTCGGTTTTTTCTAGTAATCGTGCATATTTCGATTCATGCAATCGTTTACAATATAGAAATTTACAACTGAGTTGACAACAGCTGATTTTTACTCCATAGAGGATACAAACTATTTTTACTTCCTAAAGAGTAAAAATGCTACTTTAGACCCGCAACGCATGCTTTAAAAACAACTGGTATTACTGTAGTATGACCAAAACAATATAATATAAACTCTTGATGGCTCCGCTCAATTTTGTGGATGCCTCTGCAAACGCCACCTAGTACTGTTGACTCACAAGACGGCATATAATGGATACTCCAATCATCATCAGACCCAATAGGCAAAACTAAAACTATCCTATCCTATCTATCTATTTATACTCTTATACAGTATGAGCAATGTTTGATTGTATGTATGTATGCTTGCTTTCTTGCACAAAGAAATCGAAAACTACTTCGACGATTTCCTTAAAACGTTGTTAATAATTTATTTAATTTAGCTTAAGACTTGACTTTGTCTATTGCCGTAAAGCTTAAGGAAATGAAATATTCTGATTTATATAATATATATATTTATTTATTTATTTATTTATTTATTTATTTTAGATCAATGGAGAGAGTATAATTGATCTGTGCATAAAAGAAATAAGAAGCCACTTGCCACTTGCCTCATATTTATACAATAATAATATACCAATAATAATAATAATAATATACCAAATCATTAGGTATTTTTGTTTGATAGTGCATTTGTTATGCCAGTAGGATACAATGGGTTTTAAGGATGATGTGGATTATTAATGAAATACCCCCGCCGCAGCAAACCTGCCGACTAAGCGAATTTCCATTTGTCTGAATTGATTTTCAGTTAAATATATTTTAATAACATTAGGTTTAACGAGTACCTAGGTTTGCTGCTACAAGGAAACTAATAAAGTGTGTTTTTGAGTAAAATATTGATAGCTTAGTACAAAATAAATACATTTGCCAAGTTTGATCAAAATATATCCATAAACAAGCAAACTACAACATTTGACAATATTCTCCATAAGAATAACGTGGGAATTTTAAATTTACAATTTTTTTAATTTTCTCCGTTACTAATAATCAAACAAAAATACTTTTATATACTAAATTATTTGTTTTTTTAAGCTCTTTAAAAAGGTCTAAAGAGAAATCGGGAAGTTTTGTGTTTTGAGGGTCAAAAGTGAGAAAAACCAATTTTTACTCCATAAAACCCCCCGTAAAGCCCCGTTCCCATGGTCCGATCGTGCTGGTTCGCGAACTCATTCAAGTTTATCCCGCTTTACACCTTTAAACCAAATTTCATCAAAATCGGACAAAAATTACTCAAGTTATCGCGTTCACGGACGTGTATATATATATATAAGTCTATATATATATATACATATATAAAAATTTGAACGAATGGTGTTTTTGGCCTCTGGGGACATCAAAATGAAAAAGTAAATCGGTCCCGGGTCTAGGTCTTACTGTGCCACCTACGGTAATAGCTACTTCCCTATAGGGAAATTCGCTAAAACGAAGGAAAGCTGTTCATACAATAAGTAGTAAGCCCGATAATAAGAGGGGGAAGGAAGGGGCGATCTAATCTAGTGATAACTTCGGTTGCCGAGGTCCAAGGTTCAAGTCCTGCCAATCATTATGGATTTTATCTAAGTGATAATGCCACGACCTTCTATGCCTAACTTGAAGTAGGCTAATATGAAAAAGGTTCCGGAAAAGGACTATTGTCTTAAGCTATGGTTCCGCAGACTGCGGAACTTCCGCCGTGCGGTGCGTAATTTTCCGCTGCGAAAAATTACGCAGCATAAATCTGGAGGGGTGGTTCCACTGCCTGCGGAAATAACGTTGCGAAAATTCAGTTCTGTCCAAACTAGCGACGAGTATGGAACACAAATAGAATACCATTTATACCATAAAATAATATTAGGTAATATTCAGACTTAACTATTTTTAATTGTGGTTACTTTTATTGTAAACTGATGTTAAAACTAGTTCTTAAAAATTACCTTATTAATTTTGTATGAGGATGGTGATAGTAAACATAAATAAAATAATAATTCGGACTTAAATTGTAGTTTTATTAATACACGAATAAATATACAAGCCCCAAAAAAGAATAAGGTTATTGAAATAATGTTAGGAAACTAAATTGATCGGTCACGATATGGCTCTTCTCCGCTGGCGGAATCCGCACTGCACTGCTCTCAGACCAGTATGATTTGTCCGCCATGCGGAACCGAAAATTCGGGATGCGGAAACGCTCGTCAGTGGAACCACACACATGGGAACTCCATTAAACCAGTGTGTGATAATATTTTTATACATATGAACTGTTATTATTCCTTACTGTATTTATGAATTTATTTATTGTCTCACAGTTGTTCTTTGTTTACTATTTACATTTGTATGTTGACTTCAGAGTTTATTAAAACCTATCATTAGGTCTATTCATAATGAGTTTTATTTGCACTTCAATTTAATAAACTCTTTTCACAAGTCATGGACAAACTCCTCAAGCCTGACCGATTTGATGTAGAGCCAGAAAGTGATGGTGCAGAAGAACAATGGCTGCATTGGTACCAGACTTTTACCAACTTCCTTGAGGAATGTGACTCTAATGCAACAAATGAAAAGGTAAAACTACGTTTACTTGTTAATCACATTAGTCCATCTGTCTACAAATACATCTCTGGAGCTACAAAATTTGATGAAGCTATAGCTATTTTAAAAGAACTCTATATCCGTCCTAAGAATGAGATTTATTCCAGACATCTTCTAGCAACTCGTTTTCAGAAGTCAGGGGAATCAGTTGACCAATATTTACAAGCTTTGAAAGATTTAAGTAAACCTTGTAATTTTTCCCAAGTTTCTGCAGAACAAAATAAAAATGACTATATTCGTGATGCATTTATCAGAGGTTTTATTTCCCCAGTTATCCGACAAAGACTTCTAGAAAATAAAACATTAACTTTGAATGAGGCTTTTGAGAAAGCTAGAGTTTTGGAATTAGCTCAGTATCAATCAGAATATTATAACAAGCAACATTCTCAATTAAATTGCATACAACATTCTACTACTTCAGAACCAGAATCTGTCAAAAGTAACATGTCCTCAAATAATGCAGAGGAAACTTGTTTATCAGCCACTTCCTGGAAATGTTATTTCTGTGGTTCCAGTAAAAAACATACTAGAAGTGAATGTCCTGCTGCAAATCATATTTGTCATTCTTGTGGCAAGAAAGGACATTTCATGATGGTTTGTAAGTCAGGAAGTAATTCATTACCTCCTACAAAACTTGACTCTAAAAAAACTTTCAGCAAAAATCCAGCTACATGTGCAGCTGCACCTAAATCTTTATCTAAATCTACTATTACGATTGAAGTAAATGGGATTAAAACTAATGCCTTAGTTGATACTGGTAGTTCGGAAACATTTATTAGTAAATCTCTAGTAGAAAAGAGGGGAATAACAATTTTTCCAACCACCGTTAGTGTTACTATGGCTTCTACTTCTTATCAACCAGTTACAGCTGGCTACAGTCTTGTTGATTTGTCGATTCAAGGTCATATTTACAACAAAACTAAACTCCTTGTTTTAGACGGCTTATGCGCTGATGTTGTCTTAGGACATGACATTTTCAAGGAACACTCAAGCGTTGAAGTCTCATTTGGGGGTAAGAAACCTACGCTGAAGGTGTGCGGACTTACAGCAGCTAAGGTTGCACCCGTCCACGTGTTTTCAAACTTAACTCTTGACTGTAGACCTATTGCAGTTAAGTCACGACGTTATTCAGAAGAAGATTCGAAATTCATAAAAGAAGAAACTGAACGCTTGTTGAAAGAGGGTATCATTGAACCAAGCACTTCACCTTGGAGAGCACAAGTACTTGTAGTTAAAGGTGAAACAAAAAAGAAGCGAATGTGCATTGATTATTCCCAAACAATAAATCGATTCACTCAACTTGACGCCTACCCACTTCCCAGAGTTGAAGATGCGTCGTTAACAAAGTTTCAAAGTTCAGTGTTTTTAGCACTATTGACCTTAAGAGTGCTTACCATCAAATACAAATTGAAAATGAAGAACGAATATATACAGCATTTGAAGCCTGTGGGCGCCTTTACCAATTTTGCAGAATTCCTTTTGGTGTTACGAATGGCGTCTCCTGTTTCCAAAGAGAAATTGATTCAATCATACAAAAAGAAGGACTTGAATGCACTGTAGCTTACCTGGACGATGTAACAGTTGGAGGGAGGAATAAAGATGAACATGATACAAATTTGAACAAGTTTTTTGATGTAGCCAAGAAGTACAACTTAACTCTGAACATGGAAAAATGCTCTTTTGCACAAGACAAAATCCATCTGTTAGGATATGTAATAACAAAGAACGAAATCCGTCCTGATCCAGACCGTCTTCAGCCGCTCTTGAAACTACCACTTCCTCATGATGGCCAATCATTGCGTCGAACCATGGGCATGTTCGCTCATTATTCAGACTTTATCAAGAGTTTTTCAGAGAAGATTCAGCCCCTTTCATCGACTAAAAGTTTTCCATTATCAGAAGAAGCAATTAACTCCTTCAATGAATTGAAAAATGAAATAGTAACTGCAACTAAAGCCCCAATCCAAAATGACATACCATTTACAGTTGAGACCGATGCATCTGAGTTTGCAATCGGCTCAACCTTGTCACAAGCAGGACGTCCAGTAGCTTTTTATTCGAAAACATTATCAAAATCTGAAAAGAACCATTCTTCTGTTGAAAAAGAAGCTCAAGCAATCGTAGAATCTCTTAAGAAGTGGAGACACTATCTTATTGGCCGGCCATTCCTACTCATTACAGACCAAAGATCAGTTTCTTTCATGTTTGACAATAAAAGATTTGGAAAAATAAAGAATGAAAAGATACAACGTTGGCGTTTAGAACTGTCTTGTTTCAAGTATGATATCGTATATCGACCAGGCAAGGAAAATGGAGTTGCAGACACCATGTCACGATTGTGTGGAACGATTTGTGGTCGTCCAAACTTAAATGATATCCACACGAGCCTGTGTCACCCGGGAGTGACAAGATTTTACCACTGGATTAGATCGAAAAACTTACCTTTTTCACTGGAAGAAGTTCGTCGTACTACAGCTCAATGTCGAATTTGTGCTGAACTTAAGCCTAGGTTTTGTAAATATGAAGGTACGTTAATCAAAGCTACAGCACCTTTTGAGCGACTAAACTTAGACTTTAAAGGACCAATTCCAAGTGCTACGCAAAATAAATACATATTAACTGTTGTAGACGAGTATTCACGATATCCATTTGCTTTCCCCTGTAGAGACATGACTTCCAGTACCGTGATTGAGAAACTGAAAGAAATGTTTACAATTTTTGGTATGCCTTCATTCATTCATTCAGACCGAGGAACGTCATTAATGTCAGACGAATTAAAGTCTTTCTTACAAACTCATGGTGTTGCGTCAAGCCACTCTTCTGCTTATAATCCTAGAGGGAATGGCCAAGTAGAGAGATTCAATGGCACTATATGGAAGACTGTTATGCTTGCCCTCAGAACCCAAGACCTACCCGTAAAGTATTGGGAATCAGTTCTTCCTGAAGCACTTCACTCAATAAGATCATTATTATGTACATCAACCAATACAACACCTCATGAACTGATGTTTAAGCACCCCAGAAGATCGTATTATGGAGGTTCAGTTCCAAGCTGGCTGTCACAACCCGGCCCAGTGCTGTTGAGAAAGCACAACAGGCCCAGCAAGTATGACTCACTTGTAGAAGAGGTAGAACTTATTCAAGCAAATCCAGGTTATGCTCATGTGAAACTCCCAAATGGACAAGAGAAGACAGTATCCATAAGAGATCTGGCCCCAGCACCTGGACAATCATCTTTAGAAACAGACTACCAATTGCCAGAAACATGTGGAAATGAACAAGTTATTCAAGAACCGGAGGTTTCATTTGATCAAGAACAAGTTGAAAATGATTCTAGTGGGACATTAAGTGACACGAATGTACCAGTTGAACATGCAAACAGTTCTTGCAAAGACTCAAGTTCAGTGCCTTCCAAAACGCATCCACAGCGTATACGGCAAAGACCTTACTATCTAAAAGACTACGTCTCGTTTTAGGGTGGGAAGAATGTGATAATATTTTTATACATATGAACTGTTATTATTCCTTACTGTATTTATGAATTTATTTATTGTCTCACAGTTGTTCTTTGTTTACTATTTACATTTGTATGTTGACTTCAGAGTTTATTAAAACCTATCATTAGGTCTATTCATAATGAGTTTTATTTGCACTTCTTTGTAATTCCGCAGCGGAAAAAATCGCACCGCACGGTGGAGATTCCGCATCCTGTGGAACCATAGCTTAAGTATGATAATGTGTTACAAAAAGTAAATGAAACATTTTATAAAATGAAAACAATCTCATATTTTACCTTTAAGTGAAGCATAGCATATAAGTAATCTCTAAATTTATTCTCTAATAAAATGAGTACGAAGGAAAATAATAAGATAATTGTAAAGGTTTAATTGAAAGCAAAAACAACCCTGTTTGTTCGTAGTCAGGTAATTCTTGTCATCCCTAAGCCCCTAGGGAAACATCAACCTTTAACCAAGCTGGTATTTAAATTATCTCACAAAATAACTTGTTTTTAGCGAATTCCACTATAGGGATGTAGCTATTGCCGTAGGTGGCACGGTAAGACACAATAGTACCGATTTAGTGGTAGTTTTATAAAATACTAGCTGCTGTACCTAGGTATCTATATTCTGTGGTTGTCACGCTGGTGGAGTAATAACAATGCAATATAAACAGAAAATAAAACCAATGGAAGAAATTCCAATCACATGTTTTATTTACAGCGTAGGATGAAAATAGAAAAGGTGGTCTGTACATTACATATTTTTGGTAGGGTTTTTGACCACTGTACGACCTCTTAGTTCATATTATTTTGTTAGCCGTTTTAACTACACAAGCTGATTTTATGATATTCAATAGCATTAAAAATCTATAAGGTTTACCGACAGGGTGCAGCACTATTTTTTGCATTTATGACAACGGCTAATTTGAACCAAGCAGCATCAAAAAGCTGTGATACACAATGAGAACTATACTTTTTTCAATTGTTTAGAAGCAGTGGAAGAACATTATGGCTATGGTAGATGAGCTATACTATAGTATACCGTAAATTAAAATAACCACATATTCTTAAACCGTGTCCTCTCCCATTGCAAACGCAGAGCACGAGTATAACTTCAATAAGCATTTTATACTTATACGCCAACCCCGTACGAAGGACGGGTACTCTGTTGGTCGATATATATATAACAAACAAAGTCGTGTTAGTTACACCGAAGATTACTTAAATGCTTTTGGTTACACCACTTTTAACTCAAGAACGGCCGGACCTATTTTATTGATCTTTGATTTGTTTTATTCGTCTTTGTCTCGATTAAAATATAGGCATATTCAATTTTGTATTTAACCTTAGGGCTTAGCCAGTGGCTTAGCCCCACTGGCCTGTAAAGTTTGTATGTTATGCTTATGGAGAGCTATTGGAAGAATTTAAATAAACAAATATATTCATTGAAGTCAGCTGTAAATACTTTAATTTGACAGTTCAAAGAGCGGAGGTTAAGAGGTACAGGTTCTGCTCCCGAGATTAAGCAGGCAGCTCGATGCTGGAACGACAACATTCATTCCTTTCTCGAATCACAGAACTACTGTTGTCAATCTCTAAGTATGATCCATGTATATATTAAGAAGTCTAATGATTTTCTTATTGTTATATTGGTTTACATGTTGATGATTTTTTTCAACTCGGTCGATGGAACTTGTAAACTTAAGTTGCAATTGCTATTTCAAGATGAGAGATCTTGGCGCTAATACTTTAATACTTTCTTATGAAATGGCGACCATACAATGTAGGTATTTTAAGCCAAGTATGAATGAAGATGAGTGTAGGATGAGTGGCGCGATCTTGTAGTCTTGTTAGTGGCTAAGGCCGACATTTCTTAGACACAGCTGTTAATTAATAGCCCAACAGCTAATGGCAACTAAGGGACCTACAGTTTATAGTGGAATCCGAACCACGTTATTTCCTTGGTATATACGAATTGGTCTAATTATCAGGATAGTACTGCGGATAGTCGTAATACTCACTAGTGCGGACGTTAATCCACACCAGGGAGTATCCCATCCACAGTGCATACCTATAAATATCCACAATCCGTGACCTCCTAGTAGCTGGATTACAGGACGACGCCACCCGTCCCAGTCAAGTCAGCTATTAAAGAGTGCCTTGGAATGAGGGTAACTAGAAATAGAAAGGAAGATTAAATTAAATTAGACCAAAAATCGTATGTCAAAGATATTATTGATAAACTAAAAATGAGCTAATGTAATTCTTTAGCCACCCCTGTTTGTGTGTCACACAAATTGTCCAAATCCGAGACACCTAATGAAAATGATCTTCATAAAAAATTAATTGGTGCCTTAATGTATGTATCGGTATGTACACGTCCTGATATAAGTTACGCTGTAAGCGATTTAAGCCAGTTTAACAGCTGTAATGACGACAAGCATTTAGTTGCTGCTAAAAGAGCAATTAGACATTCCATCCCAATGTTAAAGTTGTAGCCAAGTTTTTAATAAAATTTGTCTTAATGATGTGAGCCACCTACAGATTGCGCTGATCTAAATTACTCGGCTGGCAAATTCCTCGAGAGGTTGATCCGTTCCCAGCTGAATTCAACCGTGGTCGCTGCGAGGGACCTGTACCCTCGTCAGGATGGATTCAGGATGTGGCGATCTACGGTTGACGCTATTGAGGAGGTGAGGCAAGCCGTGGTGAGATCTGAGGATTTTAACTACTACTCTCGTAGGGTTCAGGGTTGTGCTGCTCGTACACTCGATGTGCGAAACGCATTTAATTCTGTGAGGTGGTGTGGTATGCTGGACGCTCTGAAGAACACCTTCCACGTTCCGGCATAAGTTTATGTGCATCATAGAGGATTATCTCCGGTTCCGCCTCCTCATGTATGACACTACGGAAGGCCCGCGGACGATGAGTGTCACTTCTGGTGCCGCCCAAGGTTCCATACTCGGCCGAGACCTCTGGAAAGTTTCTTATGACAGCCTTCTGATGTCTGAAATGCCTGAGGAAACTGATTTGGTTGGGTACGCAGACGACGTTGCTGCACGAAGCGTTGAGCTGACTCAGCTAAAAAGCTGAACCGAGTTATGCGTACCATAAACGCATGGATGTCAGACCAAGCTAACACTCGCTCGCTATGAGCAAAACCGAGATCGCGATTTTGACAAAAAACGGATTGACACCATTGTGCCTTTGAGGGTGGGGGCCATCAAAGTCCAAACCGTTCGTACTGCCAAGTATCTTGGGGTCATGGTGGACAGCATGCTTAGCTTGCGGGCTCAGATCTTCCGTACGATGGACTAGGCCGCTAGGGTTGTTTCTTCTCTTAGCCGGTTTATGAGCAATGCCGGAAGGAGGGCCTCGGTCCAGTCGTAGAAGGCTTTATAATGTCTTCGGTCCAGCCCGTACTCTTGTACGGTGCAGAGGTGTGGGCAGACGCTCTCAATAAAGGAAGTATATAGGATATGCGGCTCGCCCGAATCAGCGTCAGGCAGCACTAAGGGTAGCATCTGCATACCGAACAGTGTCCGAACTCGCCGTCCTGGTTATGTTTGCTGGAGTCATCTCCGTCAAAATTTTGGCGGCGGAGAGAAAGGCAACTTATCAGCGCCGTGGGGAGGACCATCAGACACGAACAGAGGAACGTACTCGCACCTACCAGCTGTGGCAGGAGAGCAGGGAACAGGAGACACGGGGACGCTGGACCAGGGCGACTGAGTACAGTCCAACCTTGGGTTAATCTGTGGTGTGGAGCGGTGAACTCCTACCTCACCCATTTTTTGACGGGTCACGGCTTTTTCCGGTCGTACCTATTCAGGATGGGCAAAGTCGTGTCACCCGATTGCATATACTGCCCATGGATTCCCGATGACGTGGAACATATACTTTTTCACTGCCAGCGTTGGGAAAGGCCCCGCCTGGAGGCTCGAAGGTTCGTAGGACTGCTGTCGGTAGACACAGTCATGCCGATGATGATGGAGGGTGAGGACAATTGGACCTGTGTGTCACATTACATCCAGGGTATATTCTCCGCACCAAGAAGCTCGAACTTGACCGGGATGCAGTGTAGGTCATAAATAATCTAAATACCAGGAAACGGTACGACTCCTGGCCCTGAGGGCTTAGGTCACATGTTGGACTGACTTGAAGTAATGTGACAAACAATTAAACTGGGACGGGTGGCGTCGTCCTGTAATCCAGCTACTGAGGTTGCGAATTGTGGATATTTATAGGCATGCACTGTGGATGTGATACTCCCTGGTGTGGATTAACGTCCGCACGAGTGAGTACTACGAATATCCGCAGTACTATCCTGATAATTAGACAAATTTGTATATACCAAGGCAGAAATGTGGTTATGAGTTCACTATAAACTGTAGGTCCCTTAGTTGCCATTAGCTGTATGGGCTATTAATTAACAGCTGTTTCTAAGGATATGTCGCCCTTAGTCACTAACAAGACAACAAGATCGCGCCACTCATCCTACACTCATCTCCATTCATACTTGGCTTAAAATACCTACTCTGTATAATCGCCATTTCAAAGAAAAGTATTAAAGTATTAAATTCCAGGTCTGTGTCCAACAGAGTAGAGGGGGGTTTTAGTGAGTAGTCTGATAAATTCAGGAGTCTCACACTACAGGCTAGCTACCTGTGTGCGTAAAAGCATTTTCCCTCCTCTCCCCTAAAAAAGGAGAGTATGTTTAATCCATGATACTAAGTGTGGAAATACAGCTGTCAAAATCACTTTCTCCCTTGCACTGTGTTGTATTAGGTATGTCAATTTGTTGGACAGGACAAGAAGCAATATTTTTTTACTTGTCATTTCCTTGGCCTTGACAGCTGACAGCTGTTTTAATGAAAGCTTGAGTTCTGAGTGAGAAATGTCTGTGATTGAGCAAAATTTCGTTATTAATATGTTTACGTACTCATTTTTGTGGTGTTAAACAAAGATTTCCACTGATTTGCCTCCAAGTTAAGAATTTTGTAAGTACAAATAAAATAATCATATTACATAACCTATAAATTTTATCTTGTAAAATCTAGGACTAGGCCCTATTTCACTCAGATGACCCTGATGATTTGATTTTAAAAGTTCCATTATTTGTGGATTTTGTAATAATCAAAACTTTATTGGATAATGAATGGTTTTTACCATTTTTTTCTCTTTTAGAAAGATTAGTTTTATCAGGTTATTAATTCTTCTGTTATTAAGTTACCTACCCTAATGCAACAAACACATAGCCTAAATTTAGGCATATGGGCTGTTAAGTTATAGATTTTCAATATAGAATGGAAAAAATATTATAATTTTTAAATATTTGTTACACTTAACTTAATTCATAAGCTTGTTACGTTGCCAGGGTTATAAAAAATCCTTGATGCTCTTGGAAATATGACTCATGATTTATTTATCCCTCAGCAATGCTATTTACAATAAGAACATAATTACAGTTTAACTTATTCCTAGATATGCCTTTTAAAAATAAAGGGTAGACTTTAATAAGTGGGGCCAAAAACAATCCAATGAATAGGCCTAACATACACATATCGATTCAGCCTACCGGTATCGATTATTTCATTCTATAGGCCCTATATCAAGTTTGGAGGTTAACCTAACCTAACTAACCGAATGAAATAATCGATATACCAAATTAATCGATACAATATTTTCATTCCATTGTTTTTGGCTTTACTTATGAAATTCTACCCAAAACAAAAATCTACCTAGGTAGGCCTAGGCCTGCAACCTATGACCACTCTTAAAAGTTTAATTTAAAACTTATCTGGCTAGTCCAATCTATCAATGGTTAGAGCATCAATTTGTGCATTAGGGAAGTTTAACTGCATTAATAACAACTTGAATAATAAAGAAAGGGTCAGTTATTTTTTCTTTCAAAAAATCTAACTTAAAGGAGTAATTTTTTTGACTAAAACATAACTTTATTCTGTAAATTATTTAGGTAAATGATTAATGACTGTAATGTGGCTGTAATATCAGATTTCAAGAATACTCCACATAATCCAATTGGGTACAGTTTCTTAACTAGGATACGCTAATATTGATTAAAACTATTGATTCAAAAAATCGATATTTTAACTAACTTATCAATTATAAAATGAAACTGTCATGACCAAACTTGCTGATAATGAAAAAATTTAATGAAGTTTTACTAATTGAATTAATAGTTTAAATCAATATCAGCGTAGTCCAGTTAAGAAACTGTGCCCATACAATCGACTTGCTCTGGAATGATTTAATTAAAGCTACCAGTTAACAAGTTAACTTAGTTTAAATTAAAAACTCTCAGTTTCAATATGATCTTCCAGCTTGAGCTCAGCCTTCGCTAGGAAATCTTGTATCTTCCCCTACCACTTCCATTATGACGGTTCAATGAAAGGTCAGGAAATGTATTTCTTGCTTCCTAAGCCTAGAGTGGGTTTTCTTTGAGTGCTTTGTAAATAGATCCAGCATTTCCTGTCACTTTTTATATTTGCTGACAAAGGTTTTTTTTCTCAGTTCTAGCCTTTTTATTACCTGAATTACCTCCTCTTCATCGATGACCAGCCTAGGCTGGATAGATAGCGTCAACGGAAAACAAACAAAAAAAACTATATACATTTATATACATTTAAAACTATGTGTTAAGGTTACCCTAGTTAAGTTAGCAAGGTAATATTCAATTAGAGTGTGGGTTAAAAAGTAATCACCCTTTAGTTATATTTTATCATCTTAAAGCTGGTTGAAATTATGTAAGCCTATGTCTGTGTTATTTTGTATGTTTGATCTTCAAAATTGTGTGTGTTTTATTTAAATTAGTTAGGCTAACTTACTTTCTCCTTTCATTACTGATGACAAGAATTAATTTAAAGACAGTGTTCAATTATTAAATAATCTAGGCCTATTTGATTATAAATAACTATTAGAGTTGCATCACAACATTTGATCAGATAATTTTAACATAGAAGCAGCAAATTGACAGATAGTAAGAGACGGCTTAGCAATTTTGTAGCCTTGCCACAAGGCAGGTTAGGAAATTGGACTTTGAGTGTGCTTAGCTTACAGTAAGATAGACTAAAGATTAAAGGGGTAGGCCCTAGACAGTTCACAGCCGGCTGAGTTGGCCGGTCGACTGACTAAGTTGCACGACATGGCAACCGCGCTTAGTCGGTTTCGAGACCAGCGCCGTCTAGGATCTAGTCTGTTTTGGACCAAAAATTGTTAACACATATTAGCATTGCGTGGGGTATCTAGGTGTCTATGACTCCTTTTATCTATGGATAGACGTATGTCTAAAAAATAATGGTTTAGCCTATTGTATTATACTTGTACATTACTCTGTGTCTCCCCTCTGACATAAAAGTGAAAGTGTAGGCCTACGTTTAGATCTTATAGTGCGGCGAAAGGTACATAATAACTAAGCACACAATAACTAAAATAAGCATTGTCAATAACTTGTTGTTAACAAAGAATTACAATTTTCACTAGTAAGGCTGCCAACCATTAATAAACCGTTGTTTCCTTGGAGATCCGTAATCCATACAGACGGTTTGGGTGTTTGAGCCGAGCAAGCAGGAAAGTAAAGTTAACCTTGTAAAGTTAGGTGCCCAAATGTGCTTGTTCCAGTTCATCTCATTTATATTTCTCAGAAGAACCGCACTTAAAAATAACAGCTTATCTTCCTTGTAAAGAGATTAGCCTGTTTGTTGAGTCTTTTTTTATAAAATGCATTTTGTTAGATATTATTCCCTGTTTTCTCCGTGCAAGCTCGTTTACTTAAATGTCTGTATTTTTAGCCTAAACCGTTAAAGACAGTGCAGCTAACACATTTATTAAT